TACTCTAATCCTGGACCTGGTAAATGTCCAAGACACAACTACAACCATTAGATTAAACAGATTACATTTGTTGGCTGCCCAAATACTACATCCAACACTTTAAGCAAATAAGTTTTTTAAAATTTAAACGTACTTTCTTTCCTCCTCCTCCTTCTGCTTCTGAACCCCAAATGGTTCATAAACCTTCAAACAAGTCTCACTAAGCCCTCAATATATGTCACATAGAGCTCACAGTGCTTACCTCCTTTATGCTCTATCCTGTGCAACCACTTCGCACATTTCATAGTATTTAAAGTAGGGCTGCACTGAATAGGGATTTTCACTATTCGGCCGAATACGAATAGCGGGACCAACTATTCGGCCAAATACGAATACGAATAGTGCGTCATCATCAGGTGCCTTGCCGACTGGCGTGGGCCTTGCCACAATCTGCGATCTCCTGCAGCATGTATTAGTTCGTGTGCTGACACACCTCTATGCCATGCAACAAGACTGTCAAGAATCTTTACTTGTTGTCTTCCTCTACCCCTTTTTCTACCGATCTTTCCAGTGGTCACAACATGTTCCATTTTCCCTCTTCTTATAACATGGACGAAAAGTAATGACTATCTCCTTCTGATGTCTGTGATTAGTTGTATTCGGGCTCCTGCCTCTTTCAAAACCTCTTGGTTGCTTTTTTTGGCTGTCCAAGGTATTTTAAGCATTGTTCTGTAAAACCATATCTCTGAGGCCTCAAGAAATTGTTTGGCCTGCCTACCGATTGTCCAGGATTCACAGCCATATGTGAAAACTGGATGCTGTACAACGCCCCCGCTACGACAGACTAAGGCAACAGCAACTATTATGTTAATAAGAGAGTTATTACAGTCTATCGCAGTGTGTAAGGTAACTACTATTCGTATTCGGCGGGACTGCAAGTATTCGGCCGAATACTGAATAGTTGTTAGGTCCATTATTCGGCCTAGAAAGTGAATACGAAGTGAATATTCGGTACAGCCCTAATTTAAAGTATATTATTAGATTTGTCATTCAGCAAATAATCATTATTCATTATTATGATTGTGCTGAAAGACAAGTAAATATAACAATATACTTGAAATGATACGAGGGTGGGGGGGGGGGGGGGGGAATGTGAGATCCTAGGTTATATAACTATATGAACAGCTGACCACATTTTTGCCCGTCACCCCAGACACCCTCTTTGACCTAAACCTTGTCTTGTTATGTATAGACAAACAAATTAATTATGTATTCCCTGATAGCGCACACTCTCTACTTACTGTTATTTTGAGTTAGGACAAACATAGGAGGGCGTTATCCTTACACTAAGGTAGGCTGGGTATGGCTGTTTACTATATTTGAAGTCACTGCTGGACTGATGTTTAAAAAAAAGAGATGTCATCAACAAAGAACTTTTGCTCATATTGGGGGAGGTGCCTCTGCCACTTGGGAGCAGGAGGTCAAGGGACCTGAGCTCCCAGGTTTCAGGCTCCTATGGCTAACTTTTTTTTGCCCTAATCTCTTTTAGTGTCAAGCCAAATTGTTTTGACACGTATTCAATGCATCTTATTTTGTGTACTGGTTAGAGTTAGGGTTAAGGTTTGTGCTAGAGTTATGGTTAGTCTGTGTTTCTGGGACAGTGGGAGCTGACAAAGATTCTAACCCTAACCACAACACATCCCCCCACCCCAATATATATGACTTTTTTTCTTTTAGGGTGAATTAATAATGAAATACCTTGCCTTTTTTATATGCCAGTATTATCTTTCTAAATTCTTTTTTGACTTTCTGTGCAGTTTTCATAAAGGGTTCTGACAGTAGCAGTTCTAGTTCTACAACTCTAATAGTAGGAAATACTACTTTTGAAATATTTTGTTTCTTTTCTTTTGCGTATCGTTTTTAAAAAGTGCCTTGTATTATCCTTCATGTTTTCGTTTCATCCGCACAAACAAAACTTATTTATGATGCAGTCAGGGTTCTCTTAACATACAGTGTGCATTTTATTGTGTTTCTTTTTCCTTTATTGTCTTATTAAACAAATATGACGTAGGGGACATGGGTCACTGGGCTTAAATAATGATACAAAGTAAGGGGATGCGACTGGTCATAAATAAATAAATTGAGAAATAATGACTAAATAGTAAACAAACTTACGCTTCTTTATATACACACAGAAATTAAAGACAATTATTATTTCAATCGAAACATAAAAACGTAAACAACACGGAGCTTACCTTACTTAAACCTCAGCCTGCGGCAAACGGAAAATCATTGCTCTAACGCCAAACCTAACGGTACAGAAAAAGGCTGTCAACGTAGCAAAACTTCCTTGACACCGAGGCTAACTTGATAAATCAGCGTGGATTTTGCCGCGTCGAGTAGCCACTGAGGTGTGTCAAACAGGTGTGCTGTTTTCACCTACAAGTTGTAGTCCCTCTCTTATGTTACTTCATACCTGTCTTTCAAGTGGGCACGCAGAAATAATATCTTTTTTCGCTGCAGATGTCTTTGTGTTTTAGGAGCGTTGATATCTGTGTGTGTGTATATATGTATATATATATATAATATATATATACATGTATACAAGCATCATCATCATCAGGTGCCTTACCGACTGGCGTGGGACATTGTCAGCGAGAGCTGTGGAGGTGAAGACTAGTTTGTGCTTATGCTTCATAGACTATGCGGGGGCATTTGACTGTGTGGGGCATGAAGAGGTGATCAAACTGTTGGAAAAGTTGGGCATTGATGGGGAAGATCTGCGAATGGTGAAGAGTGTGTGTTGGCGGTATGTGGCAGCTATAGGAATTGACGGCTGTTTGGGTGCATTTCAAAGCGTGGGGAGGGGCGTGCGGCGGGGATGTGTGTTATCATCTGTATACAGGCACATAGCGAAAATTACAGATTATACGAATATTTACAGCAGGAGAATGGCCAACAGAACTTTCAACAATATGAGGTAAATATTAACATCTTAAAAGACGAACAATAGTGTCAAACAGTATGTGTACTGCATTGTGCAGAAATCTAGGCAATGAACAAGCTATTAAAATGCAATGTTTCTTAAACGTTTTTGGCTGCTGTACCATTGTCGGGCAACAACAACAAAAGTTCAGAACACCTTCCTTTAGCGCGGTTTTAATACATAGGAAAAGAAAGGGGGAAAAATAAAACAGGCAAATTTAATGTTCACTTGTCTTTAATGCGATGAATGAAACAGTCAAGATGAACTTTTTTTTAAAATATTATTATTTCCCTTATGTTTATGGAAAGTTACGTTAACTGTGCTCTCATATCACTTTAGGTTTTCTCCTGTATCTTGTAAGCATACGTTGAGGACGTACTTCAGCCTTGCCAATAGCATTGTTTTCTGAATACACCTGCATCCAGAACTCTTAGAGACTGAAAGAGAGTGTGGGAGGATTATTGACGGCCTTTTGTCATGGCATGGAGGGATGTCAACAAACGAGCTGATACACACAGCTGTGGATCGCAGATTGTGAAGAGGCATGATCGTCCACACCAGTCAGCAAGGCACTTAGTGATAATGATAATCAAGACGAGAGACTTAGAGTTTGGGTCAAGACGAGAGACTGGGAGTTGAAGTCTTGACTAGAAAAGGAGAGTTGGAGTCAAGATGGGAGACTGAAAGTTGGGTTAAAGACAGGAGAGAAACGAACTGCTGATCTGTTGGTGACTACTGCTACCATCCATGATGAACTGCATTTCTAATTTCGGAGTGTTTGTGTTGGCACTTCGGATGGCTGCCGTATGCTTTGAATGCCTGTGTATTCTAGCTATGTTGAGACAGCAGTCTGTCAATATTTCCACAAGAGACTGTGAAAAACATTCCGTGTGTTTTTCTTTGGCACAGAAGCGGAGCAACTATGAGGTGACCCGTTTGCTATGAAGCTGAAACTAAGACTACCATACTACCAGGCAGGAGAGAAAGGGGTGCGGTAGTGGAGTCAAGAGGAGGGATAGGGAGCAGAAGTCAAGACGAGAAAGAGAAGCTAGAGATCCATCGTAGAGGAGGCGCCTGATTGATTGGTTGGTTAACTAAACAGATACCGCCCTGTAATTCGGCCATGGTACTAGCTAATGAAAAACAAAACCATTTCTTTCATTGCTCCACAAAGGTTTCTGCACTTGGTAACACCGATACAGACCGCTAAATTTTAATTTAAAGCTATGCGGAAGTGACGAAGTACAAATAAGTTATCAGTATTTGAGTGGAGCTGGAGCGCCTTTATCAAAACCTTAGTGAGACAGGGCGGAAGGGAGGTAGAGGGACTTCCTTCTCCGTCTGAGTACTGGGGCCCTATTTTCTTTGGGGGTGAAGGAGAACAAGCCAATTGCCTTTTAACAAGCATGTAGTTAAAGGCCACGACTTATTAAGTGCGTTTTCCTTCGAAGTGCATCTCCTGAGAGGCGAGGACCAACAGGACGCATACATATAAGTCAGTTCTGTAAAGTGGATGTGCACGCAAAACTTGAGTTCTGGAACAATAATAAAGTCCGGAAGTTGACGAACAACAAGAAAATAAAAAAGGTTTCTGGGACTTGTGCCCAAGTGATTCTCATCCAAATGGTGACACTTTGTGTCATTTAGTGTTTATCGTCCTTTTGTGCGGTCCTGGTGGGGTTGAACGTCACTCGCTCACTTACTATCTGGGGGGGGGGGGTAATCATGCTTGGTTAGTGAGCGAGTGAGAATGAGTCAGTCAGTCAGTCGAGGTTTCAAAGTCACTCCCCCCCCCCCCCCCTTCCCCCCCCCCCCCCATTATAATATGGATTTATTTTCAAATTATGTTCTATTTCCGAGGACATACAAGGCGTCGGTAGCTCGTCAGTCTCATAATTATAATCTAAATCCAAGGACACATTTAGAACATTGAGAAGATCACTCTCCAGACAGGAAAGTTAAAATCAGTGGCTATGTTGTCAAATTTGGAAATCGACAAACATCAAACAACCACAGTGTTGATAATTTGGAGAAGATGAAGTTTAGAGGCAAACTTGTTCATATCGGATGCATACAACACTTCACAAGTATGCGATTATATTTACTTTACGTAAAATAAAAAAAGTTGGGCAGATCTGTAATTTGTACTTTAAAACCTTATATCTTCTCTTATTGCACTGGCAAACATGAATGTACACTGAGTGCTACGTGACTTAGCCCTTAGAGACTTCTTCTTCTTTCGTTCGCATAAAATAAATTGTCTATATCTGCAAAGCCGTCTCTTGTATGAATTTCACTGTCTTTTGTAATTCACTAAGCGGCCTGTAAAGTTTGACTTCCACAAGTGTCTCTTTTGGCCAAATGTTTTGCCTGAAAGCGTTGAATATGGGACAGTCTTGAAGGATGTGATCTGTTGTTTCAGGTGCCAGTCCACAAGTACACATGGCCGATTGGCCAATCTTAAATTTGTTGTACATGTGGGAGCGAAGTCTATTGTGCCCTGTTCTAAGCCTTAGAGACTGAGTGAGCCTTATTTTGAAATATTTGTTCAGTGCTGAGAGCCCAGCGTTTATAACCGTGTGGTCAGCCAGCATCCTCAATAATTTTAACTGTACCCCGCTACTGCGTATGGACCCAATAATACACTAGAAGAACAAGTGTTAGTAATCAGTATTTGGCTCTACTGGCAAATCCAGACGAAGAATAAAAAGCCGTGGACGACTTAGTCAGAGTTCTCTCCCTTGGCCGCACTCCAAACAGTGATCGGAAAAGCCACAACGAAACAAACGACACACTTACCTATCATCCTACTGTTGCGTGTAGGGCTGCGTACGGTTGCGTGAGGCATCTTGAAGGGATGCGTGGTCATCATATGGTTGCGTGCAGGGTTGCGTACGGTTGCGTGAGGCATCGTGAATGGTTGTGTAGTCATCATGCGGTTGTTGGGTTAGAGTTAGGGGTAGGGTTAGGGTTAGGGGTAGGGTTAGGGGTAGGGTTAGGGTTAGATGTGAAAATTTTGATGTAGCATTTCCAAATACTGGCCGACAATCAGATGTTTGTGGGAGTGGCGCCACTGAAACTCTGCTAAATATGACGCCAATAGCGTGCGGCTGGTGCCCCCAATCGTTGGCGAATTGTGCGTTTGACCAGCATCCAGAGGCCCTCGATTGTTTGTGTGTGTGTATGGGACTGTGCGCGATTATAGGGAAATCCGGCGTCAAAATTGTCAAATCTAACGCTAAACCTAACCCTACCGCTAACCCTAATCCTAATCCTACTCCCTAACCCTAACCCCTACCCCTAACCACGCAAATTTATCGATCATTAAAGCATACAAATCGGCAAAAACCAACAAACAAAACACACCCACACAAAAAAACCCCAGATTTGTCCTGCAGCGTCGAGAAAAAACCCAGATCTGGGGGAAACAACCAAGCATTGGCAGCCCTGAATTGTCGACGTGACTGTCTTCTTTGTTTCGTTGGCTTTTCAGATCACTTTTGGGAGTGCGGCCAAGGGAGAGAACTCTGACTAAGTCGTCCAAGACTTTTTATTCTTCGTCCGGATTTGCCAGTAGAGCCCAGTATTTTTCCTAATACTAATGGAGAATGATAAGTCATCCTGACAGTTGAATGAGAAAACACATCAATCAGTGGCATGGGCTAGATAAGCAGTCACTGTTTTTGCAAAACTCATCATATTGGGTATCAGCTAGAGGGGTATTAAAACATGTATAGTTGGGGGGAGGGGGGATCCTTAGTGGTGAAGTGATCAAGCTGTTTGCCCTCACACTCTGAAGATTTTTGTCAGAACAAAATGGAGCTTTTTTTAAAAAAAAAATCTTAAACGTGAAGTATGAGGATGAAAGTGGAGGCAATCATTGCAGCTCTGAATTGGATAGCAGAAAACAAAGTTACCAGAGGAATTATTGTCTGATTCTCAGTCGGCATTGCGGAAGGTTACAAATGGACTAATGTGGCATGAGTGGATACAATGCATCAGTACACCAACACTTCAGGGAATCACGTGGATATACTGTCCATGTCCAGGATATGTAGGAGTGTGAGGCAATGAAAGAGCGGATTTTCTGGCTGCAAAAGCTATGGGAACACTCGTACTGGACAAGGAAGATATGCTGACAGAAGACATAAGATTAAGTGAAATAACATGTTCAGGAATGTGAGAACAAGAAATTAAGTGTGGATCTGGCAAGGAGAGACGGATTAGAGGAAGAGAACGACGTGTGTATAATCAGTGTGCATAGGGAACAGTTAGCATCTCACCTTAAGACATTTTCTGCGTGAGACGGAGCATCTATGGGTATGCCAGGTGTGCTATGATGTTGATTCTTAAATTAGTAAATCAGTAATCTGAAGACTGTTGGTTCATTTCACTGACACATTGTTCATTTTATGAGTGCAGGTTTTACTCAGATCCCAGTTGATTGTCACTGGAGCTATAGAGTTCCTGCCTTGTGCTCTGTTCTCAGCAAGCAAGCCATATTGCGGAGAGATACGAGAGTCGTATGGGATAACACTCCATGTGAGTTCCGGGGCACCATTTTTCTGGTGCGGGGGGGGGGGGGGGGGGGGGGGGGGGGGGAGACCCCTAAAAAGTGTGATATACAATACAATCTAGAATCAATCTGAGTGTCAGGGAATTATGAAACATGTTCACAATGTCTAAGCCACAGATGTCAACAATGTCTTTATAATAAAGTAAAGTAAAGTAAAGCATCCTCTTCCACGCCTTTAGGCGTATAGGGCTAGACCTATATTTTTTAGACCAAGATGGGTGATGTGGTCAGCATCACGCCGGCCACCTCTACTTCCTGGGACTGCACCTGGTACCCACTCAAGGCTGTCTTTATACACACATACATTTTAGTTAGAAAATCTTATCATGTTGCAGATATAGTGGGCACAATTTCAAAGCTCATAAAAACGTGCATCATGCGCATCACCATGGACAAAGTTTTCTTTATCTTGTCTGAGAGAATTGGCGATGGCGGAGCTCAGATCTGGTGTGAACTCTCTCAGGTACGTGTTGACCAATAGAAATATAACATGTCTCATAGCAAACAAAGAGCAATGCACCAACGCATGTAGGAAGGAGCATGGACAGAGCAGATATCGTCAACGCTGTACGGACTGGGTTAGTGGATAATGACAAATCTCTGACACTAACACCACTGCATGACATTGGTGTAAAGCGTGGTGAAGCATGTCTATGCAATCTTCAAGGCTGAGATAGACATTATGACCAACTTCTCATGGGAACAGCTAGTAGAAGTACCTTGGAGTGGCTGCTGCATTGGATGACTGAGCATGCATGGGAATGCTCAGTGTGCAGTGACGTCGATTGTGATATCATAACATAACATAAGGTGAAAAGACCCTTTTCACGCCTCTGGTATATATGGGTCATATGATGCCAGACTTACATTTGTGTAAAAAAAGATCCTACTTTACTTGCCAAGACTTTACCTGGTATCTATTTTAGGCTAATAAAAAAAAGTGCTTTATTATAATCCTACCCCAGATGATGTCACAGGACAGTTTAACATTTTAGAGGGTGATAAGACTGGGTTTCCCGGCTTTCTGATGCTTCTAATGACCCCAAAACATCTACAACTGGCCCTAACCCCAACCCACCTAGGGAGTGCAGCCTAGGTCCCACAGCTGCATACAGCCTATCTACTTCCCCCTGAAATATTAGACTGTCCCATGACCTGTGGATTTCCCCTGTTTGAGGTAGGATATTAATCAAGCACCTAATGACTTATGCTATGACCCTATGACCTCTATCACTGAGGCTTACAGGAACAACTGATTTCAGCTTGGCTTTTAAAAATGCCATTTAGCTCCAAGAAAATCCTCTTGAATGTTATTGTTAGTGAATGTATTCATATCCTGACCTCCTAAATGATTGTGCAGTCATGAAAACTGCCAATATCATTAACTGTTGTGTCACTATAGACAGGTCAGAAAAGTGATATAAACAGGGAATTAGACCCACATAGAAGTGTCAGTTTTTTTTTTTTTGCTTCTTGAGGTGAAAAGGGTTAAGAAAAGAAAACACAGATAACAGATTGCACAATCCCAGTGTGTGTTCCGGGGCCCTACTACAAGGAAAACAAGAATAGACCCACTGCCTACCCATGTTGTAAGAGTTGACTAATTGGGAGCTTCCTTCGAAGTCGGAGTGCATCTGCCTGAGACGCAAGGAACCAAGAGTCTGCATACAAATGAGTCAAATTTGTAAAACGGATGCACATGCAACACTCAGGTTCTGGAACAGGACTGCAGTCCAGAAGTGGACGAACAATGAGAAATTTCCGCCAGAGTTTACAGCCAGTGAACAAGAAGAAGAAGAAGAAGATTGTACAATTTATTACCTGGCATATTTTTCTGCATCTGGTCAGGTGCTTTTTGTACTAAAAGTTTAATGAAAGGAAGCAAATGGATTCTTTACAACTGAAAAACAAAATCAACCACACTAAAAAGATTACTGTCTTTTTTTACCAGGCAAGTGCAGATTCATGACCATGCCTTTTTGTTTGTACAATGATCGAAGTGATTTAATTGTTACTGTAATATCCACTTGATGAGATACAATGAAGTATACCAGGCAGTAAACTAGGCAATCTGTTTTTATAAAAGACAAGTTATTTAAGGGTTTACTGAAATTAGGTACTTTTGGTCCAAAGGTGCAGATTTCATATTCTGGCTGTAAAACACAACACGATGGGCTGATTTCATTTTTTAGGGCTGATGCAAATATATTGACATTAGCTCTTCAACCCCATGCAGAATGGAATTTTTTAGTTATTTGAAGCCCCACCCTGGTTTCTGCCGGGGGCCCTGAATATAGGTGAGGCATAGATATGGCCTGGCCATAGATATGGCCTAACGGCTGAAAGGGGTTTCTGGGACCTCTCCACGGGTGATCCTCATCCTCATGGTGGCACTTTGTGTCACCGGGTGTTTATCGCTTGTGTGATGTCCTGGTGGGGTACAACTACCTACCTACCAAATTGATATTTTCTCTGTGTTTTTTCAGAGCCATTTCTTTGATGAGTATGCTATGGAAGGAGTATCCAAAGAGGACAATGAAATCTATCTTGAAGTGCATCCTGACCTTTTGTTAAGGTCGTTAAAGACAGCACATTCGGCAAAATGGGTCAAAGTGAAACTGACGAAGAAACATGTTCCTTGTCTGACTGTAGAAATTGACTTAGTAAGCATTTCCATTTGTTAGTGTTTCGTCTTCTACCTATGGTCAAATATTCACATCCATACTAGCAACAATAAATAAAAGGCTACAACACAAAAATATCATAAGAAATACCAGTATATTATGAGTGAACTTCAAAAGGAAACCTTAAAATTGTGATAGAAATGACAGTTACCTTGCCATTGTTTTGAAACCTATCAGTATTGTTGTTCAGGATGTCAGGAGTATCAAGAATGCGACATCACAGTGCAGATGAATACATAATGACAGTTTAACGATGGCCACCCCACTTTTGAAATGCACCAAAGAGGAGGTACGTTTTTTAATCAGTGGAGGAGTGAAACTTGTACAAATTCATCAGCAAATAAAGGGCAAGTGTGGAGATACATACCTACCTGTTCATTGAGATATGAGTGGAGTTGGAAGTTGCAAAATGGAGTGATTTCTGTAACAGACTGTTCACGAACAACAGTATTGACAGGTTTTAACCCTACAAGACCTGAGGCCCTGAACCTAACTGCCCCCTATACCTGAGCTCCTGGGCATTAACCTGAAAAAACCAACATGATATACAAAAATATTAGTTACATGCAGACAAGTGGCTAGAATAAGATGAAACTTGGAGACGTTATAGAAAATAAGTTTACCTTTTATCTAGCGCCAATATTCCACCTTTGTATGCCAATCCACCCAGCAGGATCAGCCTTGTTCACAAAGTGAACACCAGATGTTGCTGTTTGAGGGACACCCCCTTCTTCTACTATCCATCTATTTCTAGATTTATAATTTTCAAGGTTTTCTTCATCATTCAAGCTCTCACTGACTGTGTCACTTCAACTGGGAACATATTCGTCATGAAATTATGACTCCGCAGAGTCTGAATCAACCAAAGTATTGATCACCTGTTGGACTGAAAAACCTAGACCTACTTCACTTTCCTGTCGAAGTGCTTGGTTCATCAGTGGCTTGTTTCATTGTGAATTTGCTGAATTTGTTCACGTTAAACCACACAAAGTAAATCCAAACACAAGTCGGCAGTCATTTGCAGTGACTAACTATGTGGTTTGATCACAATTTGTTGGTTATTTTTAGTTTGTGACGCATTTTGTCATGTAGTACGCAAATTCCTGAAAAATCGGTCTGGTAGAGTTAAGACATTGGCAGGGCTGTTATAATTTCTGTCCCACTTTTAAGGTTTTCATATGAAGCCCCTCTTATTAAGCAGCTTTTACTTCTGGTGGTCAGATGAACAGTGTGTCTAGAGAGACAATGTGATTTTTGTATTTCAGTGACAAGAATTCACTTTTATTTTGCTTTATTATATGTTGACTAACTCTGCAAATCTACACAGACAGTTCAGTGTCAAGAGGCAAAAATAAGTGCTTGGGGATTCTTAGCAAAAGTTAATGGTCGACATTTGGTGCAGGAGAGCCTAGCATATGATACCACAACATCCAGCTTAAGAATGGAGGTGGAGGCTGTCACTGCAGCTTTCTGCTGGCTAGAGAACGCGACACACACACATATCGGGATTGTAACTGACTCAGAAAGCATGCTGAGGAAGATCAGGACAGGCATGCTTCGTGCAGAGTAGCATGCCTCGCTGCGGAAGACACGGGTGAGGAGCATTGTCTGGATTTTTTAACCAGGGCATGCCGGTGTGTTGGGAAATGAACAGGCTGACAGACTGGCTGGCTCTGCACAGCTTGATGGAATACTGATGCATGATAAGGCAGACATGTTTAGTGCCTTGTGGGAGAGCGTATACAGTGCAGAGGAGCAGATCGATCACCACAAAGGGGTGAGACTGATGCAGTTGGGGGTGACGAGATGTTCTGGCAGATGCTCGAGGCTCACAGGAAAGGCAAGACAGACGTTTAATCGGAATGCTACTGGCACCATTGGTATCGGAACTCTTTGCTGGCTGCTGAAGATGGGGACGGAGCGCTTATGGGAGTGCCCCGCGTGCTGTGATGTCGGTTCTTAAATCAAATCAAATCATCAAATCACTGTGCAGTAGTGGACCCAGTTAGATACAACAAAATATGCCAGACAGTTCACTGTGCAGTAGTGGACCCAGTTAGATACAACAAAATATGCCAGACAGTTCATTGTGCAGTAGTGGACCCAGTTAGATACAACAAAATATGCCAGACAGTTCACTGTGCAGTAGTGGACCCAGTTAGATACAACAAAATATGCCAGACAGTTCATTGTGCAGTAGTGGACCCAGTTAGATACAACAAAATATGCCAGACAGTTCATTGTGCAGTAGTGGACCCAGTTAGATACAACAAAATATGCCAGACAGTTCATTGTGCAGTAGTGGACCCAGTTAGATACAACAAAATATGCCAGACAGTTCATTGTGCAGTAGTGGACCCAGTTAGATACAACAAAATATGCCAGACAGTTCATTGTGCAGTAGGATGTGCATGCAGAACTCAAGATCTGGAACAGGACTAAAGTCCAGAACTGGATGGACAACCAGAACTTTCCACTGGAATTTACAGCCAGTAAACACAAAGAAGAAGAAGATTGTGCAGTTTATTGTTTGTATCTGCGTTATTTAGATTTATGTTTATTTTATTTTGTTTCCTTTATGCTCATCAGCCATCAACTGCGGCAGAAAGTTCTGGTTGTTTATTCACTTCTGGACTTAACTTTTATTCCAGAACTTGAGTTTTGCACGCAGATCCGTATTACAGATCTCATGCATTTTATGCAGACTGTTTGTTTCTGGTTTTTCATGCAGATGCACTCCAACTTCGTAGGAAATTACGTTTATTTTTGTGTGATATTTTTGTTTCCCTGGACATTTTGCTACTCATTCTTGTTTTTAAAAAAATACTTTGTTTTGACGATTCTTGTCTTTATCTCTGCTTCACAAGTTTTCATATAACATAAATGAATTTTCACCCTTGCTTTCAATGTTGTATTTTAGCCAGGTAATAGCATCCACCAAAGATTGGTCGTTCACGATGTACCAGTGACAGTAGTGGCAAGAAAATTGTGGCCAGATTACACAGAACCTGAGATGCCAAAATTTGATGTGAGTTTTCTTTGAATTTTTTGATTACCAACCAACTCATGCCAGGTTGTCCTCTCCTTTGATACTGCATACAGCTCACCTGATGTCCCCAATATCTTTTCAACTTCACACTCTAGTTGTTTTTTTCATCCGTGTGATATTTGGTCTGACTTCATTCACTTGACACTGTGTGTTCCAATGAATAGACATTCTACTGTGTTTCTCCTAAAATAACACCAGGTCTTATATTTATTTGAGCTCTTTAAGTTGCTTTAGGCTCTATTTTCAGGGGATGTCCTTTTTGTGTGTGTACAGAAATCTACATTATTTCAAGTACAGATTTTACTTTAAAAAAAAACCTAAACTTTCAAAGCAAGTGCAACAAACAACAGTCTTCTGCACAAGTACCACCACGTTGTGTGGTGCTTATACATAAGCATTTGCTTCTCCTCCATAGGTTCTAGATTGAGTATTTATAAATCTTATTTATTAATGTATTTTATAACTCTTTTAAAGCATTAATATCAATAATGTTTTTTTAGTTATGGTTTATTACTTTATAATTTGATCTGTCTGTTGCTTGTTTTAAACTGCAAACAAAATCTGCCTATCCGACAGTCTTAACTAGGGCTTAAATTTGAGGTAGGGCTTATATTATAAGTATCCTGAAAAATTATGCTGTGGGTTATTTTCAGCTTAGGTCTTATATCCGGGGAAATAATGTAATTGTATTTCTTTTCATACGTGAAGGTACATTATGATTGGGAGTCAATGTAGCAGAGTGATTAGTGTACTTATCTGCCAAGACTAGGGCGACAATTACAATTTCAGCAGACTGGATTAGTTTATCTTGCCTGGGTTCACCTGGGTTCAGTCCAGCTTCCTAATAATGAGAACAAAACAGTTTTCTAAAAACCCATCCCCATATGTCACTCCCTGGAATTTCCCATGTGGGTTCCAGGGTCCCATTGTTTAAGAAAAAGAGTAGAACCCCCCCCCCCCCCCCCCCCCCCCCCCCCCTCTTACAAGCATGTTGTATAAGTCAGTCAGTTGTTAGGGGTGTTTTCTGTGAAGTCTGGGTGCATCTGCCTGAGAGGCGAGGAACCAACAGTCTGCGTACAGATAAACCAGAGCTATAAAATAGATGTGCAAAACTGTGTTCTGGAACAAAACTAAATTTCAGAATTGGACAAACAAGCAGAACTTTCCATCTGTGTTTACAGTCCATGAATACATAGAAGAAGAAGAAAATAACTTTCTAGGATATGTTTAGATCTAACATTTCACAGCTGAACAGCAGTATTTGCTAAGCTACCTGTAATGCATGGTGTAGAAGCTAGATTCTCACCTGCAAATCAGAAAGTCACACCCCACCCTGTTGATATTTGTGCTTGAGTGAAGTTAAAAATATGGGGAGGACATGAGGAGAGCTGCATGCAGTAGCAAAGGGTAGAATGACTGATTTGGTTAGGGGCCATTTGGAGATAGAAGGCTGAAGAAGAAGGAATTCATGTGTGTCTTTTGCAACTGTATCTATCCTTCAGGTGAGCATTGAGTTGCCACAGTTGAAACTGCTGAAGAATGTTGTGGACAAAATGAAAAACCTCAGTAATTATATGGTGAGTATACAGTTTCAGACTTCTGTATTAGGTTATTTCATATCTTGGTGCCTGCGTGTTAACAAAACCCATAAATGAAGCAAAGAATATTAACACTGCCCTTTTCTGTGTCTGCATCTTTAAATGATGCTGTACTAACTCCAAGGTCAGAGGAAAGGCAAGACGGAGATATAACCAGGTTGTGACTGGTACCATCAGTATTGGAACTCTGTGCTGGCTGCTGAAGATGAGGATAGAGCACACATGGGAATGCCCTGAGTGCTGTGATGTCAATTCTTGACTCAGCTCAACTCAACTCTTAACTCCCAGGTCGACCTAGCATTAAATAGGTACCAGGTAAAGTTCTGGGTAAAGGCGGCCGGATGGCTTGATGTTGACCACATTATCCACCGAATGCTGATTGGTCTAAACATTTAGGTCTAGCCCTAATTGCCCAATACACCTAATGACTTGGAAAAAGGTCCTTTACTTTACTTTATACTGTAACTGGGATCAGCTGTCACAGAATCTCAGTTGTTAGTTTTCAGTTTTTCAGCCTCCTTTCCTAATAACTTTATCTGCCTTTACATTTTCAATAGTTAATTTCAGATGCAGACAATTTGATTGCTTTGGTTTCAACAATAATATGAGCATCACTGGGTCTGCCCAAACAGTGCCAGACTCACATTCATCATCATGCAGCAGGTTCTTTTTTAGAACATCTCATCATGCCCAAAAGAAACTCAAGTCTCTCACCAGCTCTCCTACCTCAAGCACTTTCCTACCCAATATATATGTATATATATTTATATTTATATATATATATATATATATATATATATATATATATATAGGACTTACTTTATATATATATAATTTATATTAGTATATTAGTTTATATTAGTGTGTGTGTGTGTATTGGACTAATATTAGTTGTTTAACTGGAATCAATCTTCAGACTTTGTCTGCAAATGCCAACGGAGACATGAAACTGTCAGTGGAAACAGACATGGTGGCCATCAGTACACACTTTCAGCATCTTCCAAATCCAACATGGAGTGAGTGTTCTCTTGTATTATACTTAAATAGTGGAAGTGTAGATTAGTTTTTGATCTTTCAAAAAGTATAAATACCAGGATGACCTTGGCTCCCAGGTCGACTCAACCTTAAGTGGGTACCAGGTGCAGTCCTGGGAAGTAAAGGTGGCCAGCATGATAATGACCAAGTCAGCCACCAAGTGCAGATTGGTCTATAAAATATAGGTCTAGTCCTGTATGCTTAAAGGCGTGGAAAAGGGTCCTTTACTTACTTTACTTTTATAAATACCAGGATGGCTTGGCTGCATGGATGGAGGCGGAACTAGAGCACTGACTTGCTCTGTGATTCTGGTGATTATGTGGGACGGCACATCATGACCGTAAAGATTTTTGGCAGGGCATATAATGATGAGAAATTATGGTTTATCATACTTGCACGGGCAGTGCCAGCCTTGGTTTTTTACTCCTTGTATTTGCACTGAGCTGCAGTTCTGGTGGGAGAGTGTATTAGCACACATGACAAGACTGCCTTATGCATTTATTTTGCTTGTGCGAGCTTCAACATTTTGCTGGGACTTATATGATCTTCACTAGTTTTTTCAAATGGCACAGTGAAGGAAATTTTGGTCTCTTTCCACTGGCATAGGAACAGAGAAAATTACCAGTCTGCACGAAATTGAAGCCTCAGATGATGAATAATGGCCCCAAATTATCTTGCTCAAAATCCTAGCCCCATTGATATGTAAAATTAGGAAGGATTTATTTCCGGCAAATATGGCAGCCAGTCCATCAACTCCGACACAGATTAGCAATAATGTTCTACCGATTGATAAACTGGCAGCTGTAGATGTTAGACCTGCCGACTTTTTTATATATATATACATTAACGAATAATAAACTTCAATGGTTGCAATGGCTTGCTACACACAGATTAATATGAAACACAATAGAATGTTCTTGTTGCAATCGTCTGATGTCGTTAGTTTCACGGTTGGTCTGTTGCGACAGATTCTCATGGAGGTGTCAGGGTTAACCCTAACCTTAAGCCTAACACCCAAACAATTGAAGGGTTATGGATGCAACTCAGACGGAAGCAACTATTGAGGCCCTGTAAGAGTAGGTTTCGACATAGATAATTTGGGCCGTTATTCGGAGGAGTGCTCATTCATCATCTCATAATAAAGAAGTATACATTTTTTTATCATAAATAAAAAAATTGATCATTTTCTGGCATTATTTATGTTTGTTAAGTATTTTATGACAATAAATGTGATAATTTTCTAACTTCATTTATTTTTGTTAAGTATTTTATGACTATAAATGTGATAATTTTCTGGCATTATTTATATTTGTTAAGTATTTTATGACAATAAATGTGATAATTTTTGGGTGTCATTTAATTTCAGGTAACAGTGATGGATCTCAGAACATGTCGCAGGATCGAGATCCCCATGACTTTGTTTCTACCAGAATAGACATCCGTAAATTTGCACAGTTCCTCAATGGGCAACAGGTTAATCCCAAAAGAGTCATCTGCAGTAAGTATTTTATCTCTTATTAGATCTATAGCGCCGTCTGTGGCTTAGGCGTTGCGAGTCCGACTCGTAATTCAAATGTACTGCGATCGAAACCCACTGCTGGCTGCATGGATTTTTATCAAGGTATGGGGCGCTGCAGGTTGACCCAGCCTTAAATGTGTACCAGGATGTATGTCCTTGGGAAGTAAAGATGACCGTCGTAATGCTGACCACATTACCCACCTAGTGCCTATTGGTCTGTAAAAATATGAAGTGCTCTTCCCATATGCCCGATGCGCCCAAGGCGTGAAATGGGATCTTTACTTTACTTTTTATATTTTTTATTAGATCTATAATTACACAAAACAGTTTTTTTTTATGTTTGTTCTTCTTTTCGTTTTTCCTGTGAGTGGGTTTTAAATGAGAAGGCCACAGGCTGTGGTGTGACACGTCCTCCATTGATCCATACACCTTGGTTGCATCTGGAATGCCAGCTGTCAGAACTTGGATCTCTCTGCTGCATGTAGAGAGCATGTCTGCAAGATACGTTCAGTATACTGTGGTGCGACATGTCCTCCATTGATCCATACACCTTGGTTGCATCTGGAATGCCAGCTGTCAGACCTTGGATCTCCCTGCTGCATGTAGAAAGTATGTCTGCAAGATACGTTCAGTATACTATGGTGTCTTTCCACAGGGGCCAAGTTTTGAGTCACCTGTGATGAGTTTCTTGTACAAGTGGCTGCGAAGTCTGCTGTGTCCAGTCTGAATATAATGGTCTTTCTGGCACTCCTCCAGATAACGGTCCCAGATTACCGAGGTTAAAAACATACCCTAACAGGGCCCCAATAGGTCAACTAGTATAACTATTTAAAACTGGGTCAAAAAATAGAATTAACCATAACCCTAACCCCAACCCTAACCGTAACCCTACTCCTAACTCTAAAGCAAAGAACATCTACAGCTGCCCAGCATTAAACGGTAGAATATGCTAATCTATGTCAGAGCTAATGTCCTGCCTGCCATATTTAAAATAAATCCTAATTTTTACATATCATTGAGGCCCTGTTAGGGTATGTTTTTAACCTCAATAATTTGGGACCGTTATTTGGAGGAATGCCATCTTTCTCTTTCATATGATGAGACAGGTTGTGTCTTTGGGAGTTTGTTCTGGATGGAAGGTGTTCTTATTGCTACCATGGTCTGGGTTTTATTGTCCTGTATTTGGTTGTTTTGTATTGTACCTAATGATGCTAAGTAGACTGCTCTTTTACTTCCCATAATGTTGTAGTGTGCAGGAATCCACTGGAGAACAGTCTGCTTCGTCAGCTGACCCATGTTGAATATAGTTGAATTGTATTAATTTGTGACAGTGTGTGCAGTTTCTTGTTGATTATAGATTAATTGAAATAATTTGTGGCACTATGTAGTTTTATTTTGTATATAGTATTAATTTGTGACAGTGTGTATTGTTTCCTGTTTTACATAGTGTAATTGTATTAATTTGTGATAGTGTTGTAGTGTTTTATAATTATTGTTTACAGTTGAATCATATTAATTTATGACAGTTGGGAAGTGTTATTTTGATTTGTTTATAATTAATGTGAATAAATTAATTGTGATATTTCTCTTCTGTCCCATTCATGGAATCAGATGCGAGATAAATTAAATATACTTGATGCGAGATCACAGCAGCTTGGTCTGAAAATCCATAAAGGAAAGACAAAGATAATGAGAAAAAAAACAGGCAAATAGTAATTTGGTTTCTCCTAATGGCACCCCACTCCAAGACGTGGAGTTGTACACCTATTTGGGCAGTAATGTAGATAAAGATAGAGGAACTGATAGAGATATTAAAAGAAGAATACAAAAGGCAAGATGAGCTTTCTTAGCACTAGGGAATTTGTGGAGATCAAAAGAAATTAAAAGAAATACTAAACTAAAAATTTTTAATTCTAATGTCAAATCAGTACTATTATATGGGGCGGAAACATGGAGAACAACTAAGGCAATTACTAATAAATTACAGACATTCATTAACTGGTGCCTGCATAGAATAGAGGGAATTAAATGGTGTAATAGAATAACTAATGTAGAACTTTGGGAGAGAACTAAAAAGGCTCCAATGAACCAAGAGGTGAGGAAAAGATGCTGGCGTTGGATAGGACACACACTGAGAAAACAGAAGAACAGCATAACTAGAATGTCTTTGCATTGGAACCCACAGGGGCATAGGAATAAAGGAAGGCCAAAAAACACATGGAGAAGAGAGCTGGAGAATGAAGTAAGAAAGATGCGGAGGACATGGAGAGAGCTCAATGTAATGGCAAAGGATATAACACCTTGGCGTGAGTTGATTGAGGGCCTATGCTCCATTGGGGATAGAAAGGCAGAAGAGAAGATATATGTGACAGTGTTGTCGTAGGGGTTTATAATTATTTTGTTCAGAATGGAATTGGGTGCTTTATTAATATCCTACCCCAAACAGGGGAAAACCACAGGTCACGGAACAGTCTTAATATTTCAGGGGGTGGTAGATAGGCCGCTAGCACTCGTGGGACCTAGGCTGCATGCAGTCATGGGACCTAGGCTGCACTCTTTCGTGGGATGTAGGTGGGTTGGGGTTAGGGCCAGTTCTAGATTTTTTGGGGTCGTTAAAAGCATCAGAAAGCAGGGAAACCCAGTCTTACCACCCTCTAAAGTGTTGGGCTGTCCTGTGACATCATCTGGGGTAGGATATTAATAAAGCATCTGGAATTGTTGTATTAATTTGTGACAACTATGAGACAACTTTTATAGTTATTGTTAATTAATAAATTGTGATAATATTGTAATGATTCATAACTGTTATTCATAATTTAATTTTTTATCAATTTGGCGAGTTGTATAACTTTCATTACTAAGTCATTTTAATTTTTGACAGTATTGCAGTCCTTATGTTGTTCATAATTTAATCGTGATTTAAATTTGTGACAAACCAGTGTCTGGTTTTTCCCCCCACAGATATAGTTCACCACCGTATGGTCCACTTTGTCCTGTTGCATGAGGATGTCTCGCTACAGTATTTTCTGCCTGTAGTATCCAGATGATGGCCTTATAATCAATAATTCCAGACTTTGTGTTAAGTGACTTATTATTTTGTACCACAGTATGTGATTCTAATGTTGATTTTTTTATTTCGGGATACAAATGTGGGGGTCATCGTATACCGTGGCGTATCGGCTAGACATTCTCATGTGGATCGGAAGGTCGTGGGTTCGCTCCCTGGCAGAGCCAGACTTTTTTTTTCAAAAATGACCTTATCTCCCAGGTCAACCCAGCCATGAGTGGGTTTCGGGTGCAGTCCCAGGAAGTAAAGGCAGCCGGCAGGATTCTGACCACATCACCCATCTTGTGCCGTTAGTAAATAAAAATATAGGTCTAGCCGTATATGCCCTATACGACTGAAGGTATGGAAAAGAGACCTTTACTTACTTTTTTACTTTAAACACAGAAAAATTTGGT